GTTCAAGGGGTATGAATACTTTTGCAAACCACTGTACATATATATATTATTATTTTTATTATTAATTCCATACACACAAATGAGTATATTGTGTTATTACTTATGGCTGTTTCTGTAAAAAAAAAAAAGGGATAACCAGCACTCCAAAAAATACTATTGTTTTAATAAGGGCAGAAAACAGGACACGTTTCGGCTGCATGCCATCGTCAACTTGGATATCAACATATCAGAAAAACTACAAATCTATATAAAGAGATAAAAAACACCTAAGCCAATCACAAACAGGTTGGGCAATCAGCCCAAAAAAAAAGAAACATCTGTGACTAACATGCACAACTAGTAGACTTCAATAATATACAACATGAAATCACCGAAAAGTTACAAAAAATGTTTTTACAAAAAGGACAAAAATCACAGATGCCATTTTTTTGTTTTATTTTATGTGACGAAAGTTGTGTAAATATGTATCTCTTATTTAGCTAAGGCTGTGTGTCAAATGGAAAATGATTCTATCAGAAGTAGATCAGCTGATTGGTCAACTGATTAATTTGATCAATTATTCAAAATCTTTAAATAATTAATATTACCAGAGCATACTATGATGATTAACAATCAGGCATATCTGTGGGCAGCAAAGTGTTGTCACACACATGGTGCTACAACCTTAGCCAAACCCTGCTTCCTGTGACAAGAATAGTTTTCATGGCCTTTTGACACAACGCTGGCAGAAACCTCCAAAAATAGGCTTTGACTTTTGGCTTTTCACTAAAAGGCTCCACAATAGGGCTGCAAAGATGAGCCCTGCTTTAAGAGACCTCTGACAGTTCACAAATCATCCTTCCAGTCAGGTCTCCTGCAGTTAAGATTATAAACTATAAAAACCAAATACAAACTATTAAAGTTAATAGAGTGATCTATTAAAATCCCCACAAGAGCATTAAATGTCCATCAAACTCAAAATATGTGGTTGTTTGTGAAGGTGTAAGAAGAGAAATAGTTGTAATAATGTAGGGAGTAGGTTTGACAAAGTAAATACTCAGCAGTGATGGCTGCAGGAGAAATACCTTTTTGCACTTTACTAAAATTCCTCACATTTGTGCTAAAACTCGTTTTATTTGTAGAAACGTAGTTGACAAAATTAAATCTAAGAACTGATTGTCAATAAACGAAATAGTTCATGAGACAAAAAACTGACAAGAGTTTATCTTAGAGACAGACTGATTAATTGGACGAGCATTTTTAATTGGCCCCTTTACATAATCAGCAATTATATTTACATTTAATCAATTACCAAGTAGGAAAGTGAAGACAACCAGCTTACTGTAGTCCACAATTTAGACTTTTAGGTGAGAATACTCTTCTGTTGTGTACAATTCTTCTAAAGTTTTTTTAGGATGGACAATTATTATATTTTGTTAAATGACAAATGTTGGCCAAGCAATTAGAAAATCTGTGTTGCCATTGGTTGTCCTGATTTCTAATGCTTGCAGTATAATGTAAAACAACATTAAAGCATCTTGATTTAAAATTTGAGGTAAACAACTGTCCTCTGCTGAGCATCAAAACATCCTGGGCTTCGTGTTTTATGAAGAAGCGCAAGTGTTTTAAAATGAAAGACTAAGAAAATGGCAACAAGTGAAGGATGATCAGTTCATTCAATATCAGCTCAAATGGACTCCAGCCCCTTTTGTACGTTAAAGTGAGAGTTTCAATTTTTTAGGTGTTTTTTAAGTTTAGAAACAGTGAGTATCTTACCTGTTGTAGATATATCATTAAATAACCTCAATTGAGAGAAATAGAGGTTAATTTTGACCAGATTAATGATCTACCATGTAGTTTGAGTTGGTCCAAAATCAAAATGGACTGCATCTTAAAACAACAGAACAAAATTACAGCAGATCATGCAAATGCTTTTTTGTGAACTTTGACATTATTGTCATTTTTCAGTTACACAGCTTTTCTTCTGCAGATGTCCAAATGTTTCTGTTGGAAGTTCCTCAGGCTGCAGCTAGCTTACTGCTGGTTATACAGGTGTATAAAATTACTTTTGCATGAAACAATATTGAAATTTAGAGAGTCTCGTTGTTTTAAAATAGCATAAATCCACTTTGGTCTCGGCCCTGCTCAGACTAGTCTTTAGCTCATCAGTCCAGTCAAAATCAAACCYTATTTCTCCGAACCGAACTTGTTCAAAGAGCTTTCCACAGCAAGATAAATACTATTTGTTCACAACATTTCCCCAGAGGCTGGCACGGCCTGAGGTAGGACAGCTGCAGGGTCATTTTGTTCAATTCTTTGTCCTGAAACTTTTCTCCCCCTGAGCTTCCCCCTTATCTTGTCCAAGTTCAGATAAAACAGCACTAAGACAGAATCTCTCACACGAGACCGCTCAAGAGAGAGCAGCCTGGCCATAACTCAAGCTCGCCCAAATGTCAGGTTGGCGATGAAGTATTCTCCACTCTGTCACAGTCCGTGTTCTCACAGCGGATTGATTTTTGCCAGAAGGGCGCTCGTGCCTCAGCCCACCAGATAAATTTGTTGGCTGCATCCACACTCATTTCATCCCAAGTAGCGCCCGTTGTAAAGACGTGACGCAATATTAACCTCGGTGTTGTGTCTGTTTTGTTGTGTAGGAGTTTGCCACCCTGACAAAGGAGCTAAACATATGTCGGGAGCAGCTGCTGGAGAAAGAAGAGGAAATATCGGAGCTGAAAGCGGAAAGGAACAACACCAGGGTATGTGAGAACACACGAGGGTCACACTGACAAAAAAACAAAACAAACACTGTGTCCGAGGCTCAAATGAATATTCTCTTTGGTTGTGCGTGTATTTGTGTGTAGCTGCTGTTGGAGCACCTGGAGTGTCTGGTGTCCCGTCATGAGCGCAGCCTGAGGATGACGGTGGTGAAGAGGCAAGCACCGCCACCATCTGGAGTCTCCAGCGAGGTGGAGGTCCTCAAAGCTCTGAAGTCGCTGTTTGAACACCACAAGGCTCTGGATGAAAAGGTGGACTCACACACACTCTGGGACTTTATTCAGCTTTTCCACATGAGTGAAGTGAACCTGGAGGGGTGGGAGAGAGACTGCCTCTTTAAATAGCTTAGTATTTCTGTCATGCACACCTTTTCGTGGCAGTTCACTTCCTCTCAAACAGCATTGCTGTCCTGCACTGATTAATTCTGGTCTAGTTAATTTTCGTGTTTGTTTTCTTGCTGTTGAGTTGATAATGAGCCTCATTACTCTTTCGCTGTCAGAGGGAAAGGTCTTCTTTGTAAATGAGACAACTGTAGCAGAAGAGCTTTTAAAGGGAAGCAAAGAGGAGGTGGTCATGCTTCGTGCACAAAGGCAAATGGCATTGTCTTTCTATAGTAGATCAAATTTAGAAAAGAAAGCTGTGTGTTATGAAGTTTTTACTGGTAGGCTAAAATGGAGTTTGATAGATTTGTAAAGTTCAGTTCAGTTTGATTGAATTGTTTGGTGTGTAACTTTGGTGTGACCAACAGGTGCGTGAGAGACTTCGGGTGTCTCTGGAGAGGGTGGCAACCCTGGAGGGACAATTAGCATCAACGACACAAGAGGTAAAGTGACCTGGATTATTATTATTTTATTTTAGAGTTCATATTTGTTAGTTTAGGTTAATTAAATATCTGCAAGATCCACAGCAGCTTTTAGTCTGATTGGTTGTAAACTAGAGTAAAACATGCTGGTTGTTTGCACATAAAGCATTAACATAAATATACTGTGTAATCCAAGTACAAATATAATGTATTTTTCTCAGGTTCTAATATTTTGTTTTTGTGCAAATAGTTTGTTACTGCAATCAGCACACAAGAAAAAATGAGATGTAAAATCAATTTAGGATGTTAAAGTGCATTTCTGTGGAAAGCTTATGAACAGTGAATATCTTACCTGTTGCAGATAACTCTGTGAACAGCCTCTGGAGAAAAACAGTATAATTTTGACCAGATTACAAAGTCAATGGCTGGTCCCAGTGAAGCAAAGACCAAAATGTATTGTCTTGGAACAAGTTCTATTTTTACCTTTTTAGCTGTAGCACTTCCTGTGCAGCCTTTGGCACTTCCTCGGGAAATAACATAATATTGATCCAGCAATAACCATTTAGTGCAATATATAGAAAATATATAGAAGTATAAATAAAATGAAAAATTATTTTAGTACCTGCTATATAACTTGTCACTGGGCTTTTCTTAATACTAGTCTTGGTCCCACTCAGACAAGCCTTTAGCTCTTAAATCTGGTCAGAATCAAACRGGATTTCTCCAATCATAAGTCATATAAAACACTTTCTACAACAAGTAAGATTATTATTGTTCATAACTTTTCAACAGAACCATTTTTCCAAACACTTGAACTTTCCTTTTACGTTGATTGAAAACTTTTTTATAAAAAAGAAACTCCTTACTAAATCTTCTTTGAGTATAGTTTGTGTTTTTATAAGTTATTAAAATATAAAGCTTAAAGCCACACTTTTCTCTGAGCTTCTGATTTGTGTAAAGAGCCAGCTAAGAGAAAATTAAATTCTGTAAGTGTRTGATTTTATTTCATGTTCATTTTTCCCCCTCTTTTTTTAATCCATTTCGCAGTTGAACATGGTGAGGCAGAGGAAAGACGGTGATTCAGTGGAGCGAACAGATGGATCCAAACCTACGTGGAAGGTCTTTCTGGCTGGGGGATTGTTTTTCAGCACTGTGCTTTAGTTCATGTCTGCTCAGAACTCGTCTCTGTGGATGCCTGTTACTTTTTAAAATCTCCTTTTCTCATGTTCAGTGTAAACATAAAAACATCGACATGCAAATTACRTAAAGAAGCTGCAGAAAACACCAAATTATAAAGTATAAAATGTGTGGAGCTATCYCTTGTCTGGTTTGAGACTTTAAAACAAACGCATAACTGGATACATCTAACAGAACAAACCTTGTGATTAAACAGCAGTGTCGGYTTTAGTCTGGAGGAAAAGTGTCTTTTTTATTTTTATTTTTTTGTTTTTGTTTTTGCAAGCTTTAAGTGCTGCATTTACATGGCTTTTTAAGCAGACAAAAGAGAAAACTATCAGTGTGTTTTAATCAAAGGAACATATTCCATTAAGAATGAAGGAAAACAAAAGAGTAAAAAAAATACAAARCAGGAAATAATCTTGGATTTTGTCTGTTAGGTATAAAAATTCTCACTTAGYTGTCTTAAAATGTGAACTTTGCCAACATTTATTCTGCTTGCTATACTGGGCTAAGAAGTTTCAAACACCTTGAACATATTTTGATTTAACCCAGGTGTCGTTCCTTCTATTTACCGACTGATTTATTATTTCCACAATCACTAGATGCAAGTAATCCGTGTCACATTGCTAATCAGGAGTCGTGAACAGCTGCATTTCTCAGCAGGACTCTTTTAAATACACTGCTTTACTCTTTATAGCCACATTTCCCCCAGTATTAGTGCCCGTGTTTATGATTTTGAGTGATWTTCACGAAAGGGAGAACATTTGGGAGCTCAGGGGGTCCTCCTAGTGTTGCGGCTGCCCACCGTGTTTCTAGTCGGATTATGTGTCCCTGAAGGTTTGTTTAATGAGGCCCCTGGAAATAATGACACTTTGAGCTGCGATGAGAAGAGAAMCATCAAAACAACAACATTGAAGCCTAACTTTACATAACTCATACATAGTCACTTTCTTATGTAGGTCACCACACAACTTCCTAACTTCTGTGACTCTTCGGTTTGTAGCGTGAGGAGTTGCACCTCTATAACTCAGAGTTCTGAGACTGCATCAGAGGTCGAGCAGTTTATGCAGTGTCCTGTTCGTGTTGTGCGTCCCGCCTTACAGAGGCTGCCCAACGGCTCMATAGACGCCAACGACGACGGCAGCCGGGCGTCCGAGCTTCAGGAGCTGCTGGACCGGACCAACAAGGAGCTGGCTCAGAGCCGCGAGCACTCGGCCACGCTCAACGCCCGCGTGGCCGAGCTGGAGGCGGAGCTCGCCAACACGCGCCGAGAGCTGAGCCGCAGCGAGGAGCTGTCAATCAAACAGCAGAGGGAGCAGAGAGAGGTGGGAGGGACAACATTTCCCAAAAAAAAAAAGCATTTTGTGCAATTTTTTTACGTAATTCCAGAGAATACAAAGTGGAATCAAAATGATATTTTGTTCTCTTAGTGTAAGTGCTCACACGGAAATTCAAACATAAATCAAACTAGCTGTTCTTGACAGACTGCATATCGTCTGCTACTTTGCACACTAAAGTTTTAAACAAAGATCTTGTGTGATCTGCAATGCTCAAGGTATGTGTTTTGAATAACTCAGCTACTAAAACACCAAACATTAATATCTTTAAAAATGACTGAATTTCAACCATCTTTGTGTTCTCTAAAGTCGCTTAGCTCAGCATCTTCAGTTGGGTTTACTTCAAAACGAATCAGTTGTAGATGTTCATTCAGTCGTTCTTTTCTGATATGTTTTTCACTGGTATAAGAGATATTTTGCTAACAGATGAGCAAACGCACACAGATGTAGGCAAATACACGATTACCCATCTTTTGTGTGCTTTATGGCTATTCTTTATCCTTTTTTTCTAACTTGGTCCTGCTCCTGAAGAGAGAGGATCTGGAGGAGAGGATAACAACGTTAGAGAAACGGTACTTGGCGGCTCAGCGGGAGACCACGCACATCCACGACCTCAACGACAAGCTGGAGAATGAGCTGGCCACCAAAGACTCGCTGCACAGACAGGTAAGTAGCTGAGCTGCTGTCAGAACGCTCAATAAACGAGAACTAAAGCCTTTTTAAAAACACTTTTTTATATATAGATGATTGTGGTAAAAAATGAAGTGAATATTGGATAATGGCCACCACTATGTTTTTTTATTTTTATTTTTATTTTATTTTTTTGACATCTGATTTCAGGAGCACCTTTGCATTTTTACAAGAGGCCTGTTGAATGTGTAATGATATTCACATAAATCTACAGTAGGCCTGTTTATCTAGTAAATAACAGATTTTACAGTAATGGTGGTTAGTTGTAGTATGCTCAGAGGTATATAGGAACTAAGTATGTTTACTTTGTTTGTACTTCAAATAATTTCCCTGGGGATTTGTAATTTTACCAATTAATTTTTTAAGCGTAACTTTTACTTTTATTTTGTTACATTCTAAATATAAAAATAATCATCTTTACTTGGAAATTGAACACCTAGTGCGTAAACAT